CCGCCCCGCCCCCAAGCCGCGCGCGTGACTCGGCCAGTGCGCAGGCGCCGCGCCGCGCCGCGCCGCGCCGCCGCCGGGGACAGGGAGCTCGGTGGACACGCTCCCAGTTTTGCTGTCTTGTGGATGCTGCAGCCCCGGCCTGCCGAGGACGGGCGGTGGAGCGGTGGGGAAGCCGGCTTTGGGCCGGCCTTGGTAGCCGTGCCCGAGTGTCCTGCACCAAAGGAAAAGGATATAAAGGAAAGGGAGGGCAGGAGTTACTGATCACAGGGACATCTTTGTGGCTGCGCTGCTTGCCCGCGGTCGCCTTCTGTTGACCTCGGGTCAGCGGAGCGCAACTATCACGAGCTACAGCAGCTCCTCGCCGCTAGCCGACCCGACGAGCGGGGCTCTTCCCACGCGGAGTCCACCCTGAGCATCTCCTAAGCAACCACCCGCATCGGGTTAGGAATAGGGGGCTGTACACTCGTCTTGGGCTACATATCAACTCCTCCTGGGGCTAGGTGTCTGTTTCTTTTTGCTTCCTGAAAACGCTCTAATAATTTAAAAGTGGGAGGCGGGGGAACAGAACCAGATGGCAGATGAAATAAGAACCAAGTATGTATTTTGTTAAGTCATTCTTTTACTCCCTTCTTTTTGATTCGCTCTTAACTCAGCCGCTTAATCTACCTCATTACGAAAGTAAAGAACGAAACATAGTACTTCCTTTTTTTTTTTTTTTTTAGTTTGTGCGTTACCTGTTATTTATACATCACTTTCTTTCATGCTATCATTGGACTGTCTTTGATGTAGCAAGACAATGACAGCAGGACTTTTATAATTAAAAGACTTTCTATGTTAGTGAAATTTAATTACCCTTTGATAAACCAGTTGTCTTACAGAACTGGACTTTTTTTTCCTATAATAAATTTCAAAAAGCTGTTGAGATACAGTTAACAAATAAACCTAAGAAATAACGGATTATTTGTAGTCCCACGCATTTATTAAATGCTTTGCTACACGTCACATCTGAAAAACTGAATTGTTCCTAAACAACTGCTATAGACTGAATGTTTACTAAAATTCATAATTGAATCCTAACCTCCAAGGTGAAGGTAATAAGAGGTGGAATCTGTGGGAGGTAAATAGGTAAGTAGGAAGAGCCCTCATAAAAGGGAAGTACCCTTATAAAAGTACTCTAATAAAAGGGACCTCAGCTCCCTTCTCCTGCAATGTGAAGATACCACAAGAAGACTGCCTTTTCTGAACCAGGAAGTGGGCCCTCAGGGGACACTGAATTGGCTAGCTTCTTGATCTTGGCCCTCCCAGCCTCCAGAACTGAGAGAAATCTGCACTGTTTGTAAACCACCCAGTCTATGGTATTTTGTTATAGCAAGCTGAAAGGACTAAGATAGGATCAAAAATAAAAATCATTTCTTAAATTCAAAGTGCACTAGAGAAGAAAAAGTCAAAATGTCTATAACTGGTATTATGTAAAATGGATGTAGAAGAACCAATACTAACTGGTACTATCAATATCCACTTTCATCCTCCACTCCTGCACATAGAAAATAAATTCTTAAATTCTTATTTGTCCTATCTCAGTTACCCTGACGAAATACCTAAGAGGCACTTTGCGTTTGTTTCCCCACCACCCACCAATAGCCAAACCTGTCCTGCTTTTGTCATATTTCCTAAATTCTCTGTCTCATCTAGACCATGTAATCACCTTCTAACTGGCCTCCTGGCCTTCAGTTTTTCCCTTCTCTATCCATCTGCACTGCCACCAAAACTATTTTCCCAAAGCACAGGTGAGCTCTGGTTAGTCAACTGCTCAAAAACACCCAGTAACTCTCCAGTGTTCAGAAAGCCTAGTAGTACTTCTCAGAGATCTTACTGTGAAAGGTTGATAACAAAATAGAAAATCTCAGGGTGGAAAATTCAGCTCAGAATTGTTAGTACAAATAATGCTATTAACCATATAGTATTAAAATTTTATAAATTTTATTATTTTCCTTTTTAAGTATGTTTTGAGGGATTGGTTATGTGCACACAGTCATGTCCCTAAATCTTCCATACTTCTTAAAAATGTAAGAAATTTACAGTCCTAATCAAAAATAAACTATAATGTCAAGAAACACCACTGCACTCAAATGTATAGCACAATGCCAAAAGGAATTTGGATACAGAGGTTATCTAAAGAAAATGAACATTCTAGTAATTACAGTTCTTAGATTAATTCTGGCTTAGAACAATGAGAAGAACAATGAAAGCAACTGCAAAACTAAACTGCAGTGAGGGATCGAGCAATAAACAGATGAGCAAAATATTTTTATCTGTTAAAAGTTAAAATTAGTGACACTTTAAAAAATAACTCTTGATTAAAAATTGAAAAATAAGAAATTAAACTTCACACTACTACCCACTCCCAATTCCTCAACCGTGGAGTTTGTCGAGAAAAGCAAAAAAGATTGCGGGGAAAAAAGGAAATACAGAAAACTGAAGAATAAGCATAATACCATGGACTGTCAGAAAAGTTAGGAAGGTTAACTGGGAGAAAGCACAGGAGTGGATTGCAGAATATTAGAGCCAGAAGAAAACAAATATCTGGTAAATCCAACCTTCTTATTCGACAAATGGAGACACAGAATGCGAGAGAATTAAGGGACTTAGGAAAGTCCCATAACAAGTTAGTGATTGTCTGAGCTAAAACTTAAGTGTTGTGACTCCCTGGTCCCTGTTCTTTATATTAGTCCATATTCTAGTTTTGTTGAATGAGATGCATAAATCAGAACACCTGTATTTTATTTGGTTGTAAACTCTCTTCATGCTTTCCTTGATACCCAACCTCCTATATATTATCGTTGAACTCTGCTTTAAACTGTTCTGTTTCCTTCTATTCCAAGAGCACCTCTGGCCTCGATGGTGTATGATCTATTTATTTTACTTCATAGAATTGTTTACCAGCTCCATTACCGGCCATTCTCATGGCTATAGGCATGACCTCAGAACAGCCACAGACTTCCTCTTGGTAGATTTATGTGTTCCAGGCACAGGGCCTCACCTTGTTACACCATCCTCCCAAGTACCACATAGCTCGTGCTTCCAAAGTAGGTTATACACATAAGGCTTAATGTGGTCACAGGGGTCTAGCCATGCAAGGGCACATCTCCGCTGTTTTGAAGAAATCTTATACAGGAAATGCTTCTAAAGTGTAATTGATGAAGGTGAATTATTAACAAAAACAAAGCAAATCTATTTTGTTTGGCCAAGAAGAGAATTGTTTTTAAAGGAAATCATGAGTGAATGAGCTAATCCCTGGCCAAGTAAACCTGTATAATAATCACAGCTGTTAGCCAGCATTTACTGCGTGAGAGACATTTCATGCAATTTTAACCCTAACAACAATCTTGTGTGGTAGATAAGTATTATTACTCTGTTATACAACATAGCCTCAAAGAGGTTAATTAACTTGCCTATACTCCCATAGCTAAAATGTTGCATTAAAGATTTGAACCTAGGACATATTAACTCCAAAGTATATATTTCTTCACCCCTATATCATTTCTCATGCCCTGGTGCTTTTTTCTTTTTTCCCACCACAATATAGCTTTGCTTAACAACTTCTCAGTCAGCTTCTCTGATTGTGAGCCTCATCATTTTAACCAAGGGCTCTCTGGGCTCTCACTTGCAGAGCTAACAGCATCTTGCCTCCTGAGGAAAGTTGAGTCAAAACACATGCACATGATCCTCAGATACATAACTTGGTAATCATTCTCCCATAGATTTAACACTGGCCCAAGAATTTTGACCAGTAGTGGACATGGTATAAAGACAAAGAAGTAGCTAGTCAAGGTCATGGTCAACCCAGGCCAACCCAGGAACCCACCAACCCAACCCCCCAGATAAAATATATGAATAGTGTTCGACCGTCTCTTCTCACTCCTGCCTTAGCCATGTGGAATTCAAATATTTTACCCTCATCATTTCATTCTTCTTCTGATATATGTACACAGCTGATATGATCTTGTACAGCCTGGATCCACTTGCCTAGCATGGTGGCTGGAACCCAGGAAGCATTTAGTAAATACTGCTTTGAATAAATAAATGAATTAGTGAACATTTGCTCTCATCTGTAATAACAATAAATATAATATCTGACATTGCATATGTCAAGCTCTATGCTAAACCCTTTATACGCATTATCTTATTATATACTCAAACAACCCTATAGGTAGATACTATTATGATGATGATGATAGGTCTCTCTTATAAGGTCACTAAATCCCATTACCTCCCAAAGGCCCCACCTCCTAATTTTACATTTGATATTGAGACTTAGAAAGGTTAAGTAACTTGCTCAGGGTCACATAGAGAGCCATCATTCTAGAATCAAAACTAGATCTGATTTCAGACCCAATTTTCTTAGTCACTACATTCTACAACCTCTCTTCTATTTTTATTAATAATAATGATCACTGCTTTTATGTATTTAGCACTTACCATGTTCTAAGCATAAAGCTAAGTATTTTACATTATTAGATTCATTTAATCCCCCAAACAATTCATCCTCCATTTGCATCACTATATGAACTTGGGTAAGTTACTAAAAGTAATCATAATTTGCAGGATCTATGTGACAATTCTAGAGACTATATCAAGCACAGTGCCTGTGTGTGAATGTCCTGGGGAAAAAAATGCACATACTCCATCCTGAAATCACCTGTGCATGAATTCAATTTATAAAATATTGCTTGGAGAAGCAATTAATTTGCAAGGCCATATCTTATGCAAAAATAACACACACAAATGCTGAACAAAATGCCTCAGATATCTTTCAGCCTGAGATAGTTGGAAGTAGCTCTCTCACAGAATGAACACCAGTCAGTTTCAAAAGGAAGGAAGAGTCTCTCAGGTGGGCACAGCCTAGAAAGGCCAGATGTGGTCAAGGTGCTTTCCCAAGGATGATTTCACAGCCAATCTGTATTCAGGAGCATATTTTTCCAATCCAAAATCAGCACACATGGCTTAAAAAAATGGGTTGTGATTTTTTAAAACGGAGGTATCAAATACATACAATCTTACATATAATCTTAAGTGTATGCTAGATGATTTTTTTACTTATGGATACACCCCTCTAACCTCACCCAGATCAAGATATAGAATATTTCCAGCCCCCCGACCCCCACCAAAAAAAATTTAAAATCAGAACAGAAAACCAGAAAGCAAATCAAGAAACTTTGAAAGCTGGGAAATGGAAAGGCTTGTTTTGGGAGAGGGTATTAGCGAAGAAGACAAACCCGACTTTTACCTTCTTTTAGGGGTGGCCGTACAGTATTGAGCATTCACATTCGTTATGTCCATTCATCCTCACAATGACTTTGTGACGTAGTAAAGGCGTAACCCCTTTTTGCACATGTGGAAATAGAAACTTGTTCAGGGTTTCCGAGGATAACATGCCCACCCCAAGCAGGAGAGAAAAATAACTCGGTCTCTTGGGTTTTTGCAGCGGATCCAGCCACGTGGCAGAAGGAAGGCGGGGAAAGGCCTGAGTCAGGTTACCAAGGAGCGTCGCTCCCGTCTGCTTATTGGCGGGCGTTCTAGGTATAAAGGCTCAGGCCAGCTGTCCTTGAACAGCGAGACTAAACCCCACCGCGTGCATTTTGAACTTCCCAAAGGCCCCGCTCCCTTCCCGGTGGGTGCTCCAGGAAGAACGGTGCGAAGACCCATCTAACGTTGGACCTCAGGTACAGTAGATGAGCCACATAACCCTGCTTAAATTCCCTCGGGGGACTTATCTTAGGTAAAAAGGAAAACCAAGACAAAAGTCCTGGAGGGGATAATAATTATTACTTTAATTCTCTCTGAGGACTAGAGTGCAATAACTCAAATATTCAAGAAACGATTGCACAAGCAAAGCGCCTGCTAGCATCGAGGACAGTGCGAGGCCAACATTTTGATATTTTCCCTTTGAGAATCTCTGCCTTAGGCCAACAAGGGCGGATCCAGATTAAAGCAATAGCCCCGAAGTATACAGGACTACGTAATGGAGACGGTGCAAAAGAAGAACGATAGTTTTTCATTCACTGAAACATAGTTTGCAACAGCAGCGTGAGGGGCAGTTTGCCTTGTCCTGGGGGGAGGAGAAAGCACTACAAAAGTGGAAGAGACAGAAATTGCTGCGCCCTGCAGGGTTCACTCTGACGATTGTTGTGCGCTTGTCCATTGCAGGCTGACCAGCTCCAGCAGAGGTCGTATAAATTCGCCACCTGCCGCCTGATGTGGTGCCTGGAGACGCTCTACTTGGGTCCTAAGCGCCTCCTGCGGGGCGTGAAAAGGCGTCTCCAGCGTCGCACTCGCCGAATCACTGCCACCACACCCGTCGCGTGCGCAAACGTGCTCACCCCAGACCGCATTCCTGAGTTCTGTATCCCCCCGCGGCTCGCTCCCTACCCGGCCCTGGCTACGCTCAGGGACTTCTGGGGCAACGAAGCAGGGACAGACGACAGCGCCCGGCGTACGGACTCCGACCCACGCTCGCAGGCAGCGCTCTCGCTGCCGCACCTGCCCCGAGCGCTCACCGCCTACGGCTT